GGTGGGTTGGTCGGTTTGGTTGGCTTTTTGAGAATTGTTTTTCTATGTTTTCTAATATTTTTCTTTGTTTAATCGTTTATTTCGTCTATTCATGGCGTCAAAACTGAGACGTGGTGACAACAGTGTGTTGTTAAACTACAGCAAACACAACTCCTGCACATATACAGTATAATACTCGTAAACCACAATCTATTTAGAGGTTGGTTGTTTTCATTCCACTGTGGGTTTGCGTGCCCATATTTATACCTACGTATATATAAGTGTATAACTAAGTGTGTGTGTGTAAATGTATATATATACATGTATACATATTATGTGTGTGTGTGTGTGTGTATGTGTGTAAACCTATGTGTATGTGTATCCTTTCTGTCAAACTTTTTCGTGTATTTTCTATTTTATTCGCCTTCCTATGATTTACTATAATTTATTGTTACCTCATTTCAAGCGTGTTCAATTCTCTGGCAATCTTACGAATGCATCAATAGATTCTCTGATCATTTGACACAGAGTGGTGGTATCTATGTTGTAGCTGTTAGGTTTGAAATCAGACGAGTCTTTGTCGACATCTCTTGTGTAACGGCAAAGCTATTTGTTGTTGCACATACGAGACATGATTCGTTGCAAAACTGGAGAAATCGTTCTGTCAAGTATCTCCGTCTGAGTTCTGGTGTGCTAAACATCCTATTGACCAAGGATTCGCTCTGAGAGGGCTGAAGCAGTTTGCCACCTGCACGATCTTAATCGTATCGATAGGGACGTAAAATACCTTCATTGAAGAAAAGAAATGTGTATTAGTCTAATGGCTGTTGCACCCAGTAGACGTGGATTTGATTGCCGTAAGTGTTCCTTTTTCATGCCGAAAGGAGAGTAAAACAGTTACACTCGTCTACATCATAATTAATTAATTGTTTTTTTCTTCTGTTTCAGGTACATCACCGTGCCTGCCTGGAGGGAATGACCTGCTTAGTCATTTATTCGTCTTGACAGTGACTAAACTACCACAATCTAGCTACGCAACTTGATCTGGAAATGGTCAGGAGAAAAATACGGGTGGGCAAGAATGAGGCAAAACATCAAGCAGGTGTCAGATAAAGAAAGCTGCCGTGGACTTGAGACTCAAAATGGCTGTATCATCGATGTCCCAATTCAGCATATCAGTTTTCTCAATAATGGATGGGAATGAAGAGAGAATCTTATTCCCGTCCCAATCCCGACCCCACATACTCTTTTTAAGAATTTTCCTTGCAAGAAACTGAGGGCGTTTTCTTTCTTTTTTTTTTTTGGGGGGGGGGGTCGATAAAGGAAAGCTTTCAAAACTCTAGAAGCAGTTAAGGACTTAGATGTCAAACAAAATCAATCATAACTCAAGCCTTAAGAAGAATTTGACATTTTCCTGAACCAAGAAAAGCTCAGTTGTCTTTCACAATGTAAGACATTCCCTTGGAAACTGAGATATGTGTGTCGAAGATCTGTTAAACGGTCACAATAATATCTATGACCTGTGAATCATTGTCTTCCATTGTTGGTAGATTTGAGTTGCAACCAAAATTAAGACTGAACTCAACAAGTTCATTGTCCAAACAAATGGATAGTAGTTTCAGCTGTGTATATTATGTAGAAAATAGGGGTATAAGGTATATCATATACGAAAATTAAACTTTTGAGCTAAATGTTGAATTAAAAGAAAAGAACAGGAAATCGCACAGTAGGTGTACAAAAGAAATATAACACCAAACAGCAAGCGAAAATTGATAGTCTGTGACTGATGCCAACAAAAAGAAAAGAAATTTACATTTTCGTTTGAATTCTCTTTCCTTCACGAGAATTGCTACAGTCATCTATATATTTCTTCTCCGTACAAGAAGGATCGTTTGACGTGATGTCCCAGTTTCTGTGTTGAGTCTAGAAAAGACTACAGGGATCGGAGTGAAAAATGATCCGGAAGAAGAAAAAGGAGCTATTCCCAACCCTGATAGAAGGGAATGTTCTAGATCCAGGGTCAGGTGAAGGTAATCCATGCCAGGTTGAGCAGGACACGAATGGAAGACAAGGAGTGCTCGCCCCTGCTTGGTCACAAACACACGGACCTTCTCATTGTGGCTTTCCATATCGCACCTTCGTGACAAATTGTTTTCTAATCGAATCTGGAATATTACCTTTCACAAAACTGGATTAGATTTTCAATCTGGAGTATCGAGTGTACGTGGTAGCGGTGGTTTCGATTACCACCTTAATCTGATGACATCACGACGACGCATGCGCAGTGACATCGTTTTTAAGGTAGGTTGTCTGACAGGTGATCCCAATTCTGTTTGTTTAGGTTTTTGTTCTTTTTTGTGGTACTATATTTTTTTTTAAATTTGGGGTTGCTATTTTTTATTTCTCTTGGAGCATTTCTGTTGTTACCTTGTAGTCTTAGCTGAGGAAATAATGTCTTGATCTTTTTCATGGGCTTTAAGCAGATTAAAATGACACATACATCTCTCTCTATCTCTCTTTCTTCTCTCTCTCTCTCCCTCTCTCTTTCTTCTCTCTCTCTCTCT